GGGGAACCCGCCCCCCCCCCCCCCTCTGTGTGTTTGTCACTTTTATAAATAATGAAATCCTAATTGTTTGTAACTTGTTTCAGCGCCCCCATAAATCCATCCATCGGAGGCGGACCGATCCCATGGTCACCCTGTCCTCGGTGCTGGAGTCCATTATTAATGACATGAGAGATATGCCCAATGTAAGTATCACATGTCACATGTACCCCCATCATGTATGTGCTGCCCAATGTAAGTGTCACATGTACCCCCATCATGTCTGTGCTGCCCAATGTAAGTGTCACATGTCACATGTACCCCCATCATGTCTGTGCTGCCCAATCCCAAATCTCTGTGAGGGCATTAAGTCATAGTTACCCATGGGAACCAGATACCAAAGTGAGGCATGTACCCACGGCAACCAGATACCAAAGTGAGGCATGTACCCACGGCAACCAGATTCCAAAGTGAGGCATGTACCCACGGCAACCAGATACCAAAGTGAGGCATGTACGCACGGCAACCAGATTCCAAAGTGAGGCATGTACCCACGGCAAACAGATACCAAAGTGATGGAGGTAAGTACAGCAATGGATGAGACGTGTACATACCTCCTGATCTGGGAAGCTTTGCGCAGCTCGGGGGGCCGTCTCTTTATTCCTCCCCATGTGATGATTGTAGACGCACAGAGACCCCATAAAGGGGGGCGGGGCCAATGTGTTCCGAGAAGAGAGATTTCCTGGCCGTAGAGACCAATCAGAATTCTTCTTTAATGTTTCCATGAAAAGTGACCCCGGCCGCTCGCTAGGGGCCACAGAGCCGCTCCAGTCCTCGTCTCCTTTCCTGGCCCCCAAAGTGTTCTGTCACATGATGGGGATTGCTGTGTGAACTGGTGTCGGTTCTGTAAATGCTCGTGGGAGAGACTCTATCCCTATGGAGGTCTTTGGTAGGGAGGTCCAGTCTGTCCGGTACCGTACACAGTGATGGATATGGGGGTCCTCTATATTCTGGGGGTGGGAGGTCCGGTGGGTCCGGTACTGTACACAGTGATTGATATGGGGGTCCTCTATATTCTGGGGGTGGGAGGTCCGGTGGGTCTGGTACCGTACACAGTGATTGATATGGGGGTCCTCTATATTCTGGGGGTGGGAGGTCCGGTGGGTCCGGTACCGTACACAGTGATTGATATGGGGGTCCTCTATATTCTGGGGGTGGGAGGTCCGGTACCGTACACAGTGATGGATATGGGGGTCCTCTATATTCTGGGGGTGGTGGGTCCGGTACCGTACACAGTGATAGATATGGGTGTCCTCTATATTCTGGGGGTGGGTCCGGTACCGTACACTGTGATGGATATGGGGGTTCTCTATATTCTGGGGGTGGGAGGTCCGGTGGGTCCGGTACCGCGGGTGTGTAGATGGGGGGGGTGGTGGGTCCGGTACTGTACACAGTGATTGATATGGGGGTCCTCTATATTCTGGTAGGTGGGTCCGGTACCGTACACAGTGATTGATAGGGGGGTCCTCTATATTCTGGGGGTGGGAGGTCCAGTGGGTCCGGTACCGTACACAGTGATTGATAGGGGGGTCCTCTATATTCTGGGGGTGGGAGGTCCAGTGGGTCCGGTACCGTACACAGTATACACTCACATGCCCGGGTTTCCCTCCCCCAGACGTACCCCTTCCACAGCCCGGTGAACGGCAAGGTGGTGAAGGATTACTACAAGATTGTGACCAACCCGATGGACCTGCAGACGTTGCGGGAGAACGTGCGGAAGCGAATGTATCCGTCCCGGGAGGAGTTCCGTGAGCAGGTGGACCTGATTGTGAAGAACAGTGTT